ATCCCATATTCCAGCACCTTTACTTTTTTCTCTGATAAATTTGGGATAATTACACTTACTTTATGAAGTTGTCAAGAGGCCTAAAGAAAGGAATGTGTGGAAAATTTTGTAGTTAACAAAGTGGTACATAGCAGGTCTGGGTGAATGTTTTAACAGAAGAATCATGATTTATACCTCCAGGTAAGATTTTCAAATTTCTCTTAATTATATCTAGAAAATTATATCTGGAAAATACTCTCCACCTAGGATGTCAAAGACCCCACTAAGGACTTTATATCCCTTAGCTCACTGAATTTTCAGAACACTAAAATCTCATTGCCCCCCTTTTATAGATGTGAAAACTGAGACTTAGAGAAGTACATTACTTTAATAAGGTCTAATAATTGCTAAGTAGCAGAAATGTGAGCCCAAGTCTAACTCATGCTCCTACAAAATAAATGCCTTGTTCTCTTCCACAGAAGTCACTTAGCTCACAGAATCGGTCTTAGTTAACCTCTCTCTGGTTGCTGAGACAAAATACTTGACACCCAAAGTTAAAGGTTTATTTAGCTCACAGTGTGTTGAAATTTCAGTCCATAATCGAATGGCTCCAAGGCAAGGTGGCATGGCAGTTATTAGAGAGGAGAAACCGTTCATGGTGGGCAGAAGGTACCAAAGTGATCAGAGAGGACAAGTTTCTTTCTGTCTCTTACATTGTGATCCGTCTACTGGGATTAAGGTGGTACCAAACCGATCAGTGGGCTAATTTAGTAATCACCCACCCTTAATCCTAGAATTGCACTGTGAAACACTCACACACTCTAGATCCAGCCACCTCTGAAAAAAGCCCCACCTATGACTGCATGAGGCTTTGGGGGGTCAGCCAGACACAGCCGTAACAGTATCCTTCTTTACAGGAGCTATGTTTTGTGAAGACAGGGCTTTTGTGATCTCAACTCATTTGATTCTGATTGGCATTCATCCTGCTTGACTCTAGTACTGTTTGTTTATTTCTGGAATCCAAAACTATCACTAATGGGTCTGATCTCACAAAGGATGCTAAAGAGAGTAAGGTCTCTGAAGACTATTTATTCCCACATCTGAAATCCCAAACTCTGGGAAATAATGTGTAGCCTTCCCTCCCCTTCTTCCTTCCTCCAGGTGACTAATTTAGAGATACATGAGTTGTGGAATGAAAAGAGATGTATTGTAGTCATATTTCACATAAGAGTTCAGAGGGGATTCACATGAGTGATTATTCACTGTGCAGCAACGTCTTAATCCACATCTTTTCATTTCACTTCACTTAACTTGGAACAAAGGTTCATTATTGCCTATTACCCTAATTTTGCAAACGAGAAAATAAGGCTAAGCAGTGACAGAATATATTGAAACCTGGGTTCTCCTAACAGGAAGCATTTTCTCTTCTTCCTCTTCCCCACTGCTCTGCCCCATAAAGGCACTGGGAGGCTCTGATGACTGCTTTGCTGGCTAGCACTGCGGCTCGGAGCAGGGGGCTCTGCTGGGTTCTTGGGCCCCGAGAACACCGTGGACTCCCCACTCACTCCACCCCACCCCTGGTCCCTTGCCAGTCATCTTGCCAATGTGCCCTTGTCTACAAGGCAGATGGGACAGTGAGGCCTGCAGCTGGAAATGCGGCCCAGAGCCAGTTCTCTGATGACAGTGGAGTCTGCTGTCACTACTGAGTAAGCCACCCCTTTTCTTGCCACCTCTACTCAAGGAGACAAAGAATGCCCTGCCAGGACCACCGTCTTGCCCCTGTGAACAGGGCTGAACAGGATGAGTGATGAGCGTGCTGAACAGTCTCTGAGGGCGATTGTGAGGATGACAACAGAGATGATGCTTGCTTTATATAAAGCTGGGAGCTCTGTGCACGTACGTGTGTGTGTGTGTGTGTGTGTGTGTGTGTGTGTGTGTGTGTGTGTGTGTGTTTCCTGGTCTGGAAAAGACTGTACCTATTTCTGGGGAGCTCCATGCAAAGAAATCCAGCATTTAAGTTTTGCTCACATCAGACTATTTGCTTTCAGATATCCAGAAATGGTTTGCAGGGTATTTGAGAAATTGAGAGGTACAGATTTGCACTTGGCCATGGTTTCAAATTTAAAGAGGATTATGGTCCATGAACCCCTGAAATGGTGGGCTGAGGTATGAACCTTTGAAATTCTAATTGCAGACCAGGTTGAGGAGGTAAATACCACAGCACAATATCTCATTGTTTGCATATTCCTTTCTTGGCCAGATGAGGCAGGGGAGGAGGAGATACATAACATAATCTTCAAATGAAACTGAAACAGCAATTGATGGTAGCAGTTTGCTCTCTCTGGCGCATTCAGTCAAGAAAGAAATCCCCAGCTGTTTACCATCACAGCTGGCTCAGCTTGTTGTAGTAATCTTTATTCCTTGCGTCTGCATTGCAATCAGGGCTCTGTATAGCTGTGTTGGCACACCCACCTCTGGTATGGAGTGGCACCCAGGCCCAAGGTGACAGCATCAGCTATTAGGAGAGAAACCTCTGGAACCCTGGAGTCCAAGGCTTCCCAGAATTGAGGCAGTTCTTCATCAACTCTAAGCTTTTAATTACAGGTCCTATTTATCATTCTCTATGTGTCAGATATAGAGCATGGGGAGAGCTACCACCTTAGTGGAGGTGATGGTGCTGTGTGACAACTTGGAATAGAGGGAAGAATAGAGCAAATGCAAAAATCAAAGTCTGGATTTATTTCTAGCCTACAGGAAGGCAACCCCTTTTGAAATGAGTCTAAGTGCTTGGTGCTGTGTTCTAGATGCTCCGTGGGGCAGTGTGTCCCTACTGAGACTCACAGAGTTTAGTCCAAGCTACTGGGTGCCATATTTACTCCGAGTCAACAACTTTCCAGATGCAGTGGAGAAAGAGGAAGAATTTCCTCCTTGGTGGCTTAGCCTTCAAAAGCCCATGTTTTGCAACCACTGCACCCAAACAAGCCACCTTCAGCTGCTTGCTATCTCCATCTGGCTCCTTCCTCAGATCCTCAAATTCCATGACCAAGCTATGAAATTACTAATGAGAAAATGGGTGCCTGTTTATTTACTAATATTTTAGCAACTGCCTCTCTAAATGGATTTCTGAACACTTCCCTTCGCCAGGGAAGTGTAACTGTGTGTCTTTCCTTAGAAAATTCTCCCTTTGGTTTGCAGAAATGCTTTCCTTCCCGGAGCAGGGTCTCCTGGAGGACAGATGAGCACCTCGCTGGAGGGACAGCAAAGGTGGGGCAGTGTCAGGGCTGGGTGATAAACCTCTCAGCTTTCAGAAAGGCTTTCCTGTGCACAAAGCATGTTTTCACTCACTGACATTTAACTTCCACAGCTTCCTGGGGGCAGAGCCCCTATCTTTCACCTTCATGGGAGGCATGTGAGGGCCCCAAATCCCACTCTTTCCTGCTACCTTATCAGACAGGCATTTTCTGAACATTTTTTAGCGTTTATACCATAGTTGCTGCAGTTCTGGTAAGCTCCGAGAAAGCAGGGGCGTTATCATCACTGACTCTCCAGATCACATGACAGGCTCTTGGTGTTTGTTGACAGAGACACTGCATTCCCATGTGAACTGCACTCACGGACTTCTTCGTGCTAGGCCCAGTGCTAAGATTCCTGCCCTGGGGCCTTGGGCTGTAGCCAGGGTTCAGGACCAGACAACAGACCCCTGTCCATACTACCCGGCAGGAGCTCATCCTGGGGAGGCCAGAGCCTTCTGCCCTAATGGTCAAATTGCCAAGACCAGCTACAGGGCAGATATTCAGGGGGCTTCTCTAGGGTCCAACTGCAACACCCAATCCTGAGGTGGCCAGCGAGGGCAGACGTTTGTTTTTAATTGCCCTGGGGCTTGAACCCGGTCGGTCTGGCAAAGTTGCCAAGGCTGAGCTCGAACTTGTGATCCTACTGCCTGACTCCCCGAGTGCTTTTTTCCCCCTCTCCAATTTCATTCAGTCAACGGTGAGAAATTAGGTGGATTCTTTGAACTCTAACAGATTAAGCTACTTTAGGAAAATAGCCACTTGCAGGGGCCGAGGGGCGGACTGTTGGTACTTTCTCAGCTGAAATTTGGCTTCTGCTTAGCGTTGCACACCATCTGCACCCGAGAAATGTCTTTACACGCCCTGACCCTCGTCTCCCCTTTTTTTTTTTTTTTTTTTGCATTAAAAAAGTGCAAATGACAAGATTCGGAAATTGTGAAAATACAAAAACCTTTTCATTTGCCTTCCCTAGGCCTTCCAGCGACCTAAGTAATTGCATAGGGCTGGTCTTCTCGGGCAGGAGCCCGAGCCCGGCCACAGCCTCGCGGCGGGAGGCGGATCTCCTAGCCTCAGCCTCGCTTCCTGCACCCACATGGGACTAAAAAAGAATGCGGGCAACTTTTTTTGGTCTCCCTCCTGCAAAAGCTCGCGTAACCAGCTCACCGAAGTAACCGGCCGGGGGCGGCGCCGCGAACCTGCAGCCTCGCCCGCCCGGGCACCCGCGTCGCAACGAGACCGGTGGGGGCCGGGTGGGGGCGGCGCGGGGGCGGGCGGCGCGTGCGCAGAGCACTTCCTTGTTTGTCCCCGTGACCGGCGCGGTAGCGCCACCCGCCCGCCCGCGGGAGTGAGTCTCAGTCACCCGAGCCTCGCCGTCGCCTGTCAGAGCTTTTGAGGAGCCCCCGGCCGCAGGGTCGTCCCGGAGCCGAGCCCTCCCGCGCCCCGCGTCCAGGGCCTGCGCTCTCAGTCCCGCCGCCGCCGGCATGAGCAGAGGGAGGCGGGGCCCCCGAAGACCCCAGCCTCGCGCGCGCCTCGGAGTTTGAAGGGCCCCGCGCCCGCCGCCGCCCTCGCCCGCCCTTCCTCTGCCGCGGCCCGGGAGCCGCGCCAGGCCGGGCGCCGGCGGCGGTGCGGGCTCCTCGCGGGGCGTTCATGAGCCACCGGGCGGCCCGCGGCCCCGGGAGCCTGCGCCTTGACTCACCCCCCGCCCCCGCTTGTGTCTCGTCCCCCCGGCAGGATGCCGGACCAGATCTCCGTGTCCGAGTTCATCTCCGAGACCACCGAGGACTACAACTCGCCCACCACGTCCAGCTTCACCACGCGGCTGCACAACTGCAGGAACACCGTCACGCTGCTGGAGGAGGTAGGTCGGGCCGGGGACCCGGCCGCTTCTGCTCGCAGCCGCTGCCTCGCGGTTGGATCGTCTGCGGTCTGAGCTGGGGAAGAAGGGGGCGTTGGGGGCTGCGGTGCCACACCCCCTCCGGAGCCCCCGGCTCTCGGGTGAACGGGGGACTTCAGCCGTGGACCCCCCTCCCCGAGCCGGCTCTCTCGAGGCTCTGCAGTTTCAGGGGTCCAGGGACTGCAGGTGGGGAAGGACCCAGCGCTCAAGAGGGAAGTCCTTTGCCTGTCTGGCACCCTGCCTGAGTGGCAGGTATATTGTCTGCGCTTCCACTTCGTCGTGACCCTTTGGTAACCTGAGTAGGTGTCTGGCCACGGAGGGCAGAAAGGCAAGTAGCAGCGCGGCCAAGGTCACCAGCGAGGGACCAGGAGATGGGCAGTAAACGCACTTCTCTGCCGCCAGGGCAGGCTTAGCTGCAGAGATAAGGGCTGGTGGAAAAAACCCAAAAGAAAAGGAGGAACTCAGGGTGAGATGTCTCCACCCCAGCACTCCTTCCTGCTGGTCCTGGGTGCCTGAGGTACCAGAAGCCCAGTGGAAGGAAATCTACGCAAATTGGCCCCACCTGGCTTCCCTCGCCTCAGCGGGTTTGGTAGGGCTCAGGGCTGCTGCGCCAGGTCTGCAGGGTACTCCTAAACTGAGAAGGAAGATCTGAGGCCCATGCAACTTGCAGAGCTGACTAGATTGGGAGAGAGGAGACCAGAGGCTGCAGAAAGAATAGCTCTTCTTAACTGATTCCTTCAAGAAAAGCATGGGGGTGTCCAGGGGCAGGGTCCAGGGCAAAGCGATTTCCTTTAAATTTTTAAATGAATTTTGTGATAGATGAGTAAGGAGGAGCCTGCAAGCCCAGGAGCTACTGAAGCCTCAATGAAAATAGGACCTTTGCCCTGGAACTCAGCCCTGGTCTGTAAGTGCCCTAATGCACCACTCCCTCCTCCCGGACCTGCCAAACCTATTCCAATTGAAAAGGCAGCCTAGGGTGGCTGTTAGGAAATGAGATACGCCCCCCCCGGGGGGGGGATTGTGTGGTTGGCTTCTTTGAGGTTTGGGGAGCTCTTTCTAATTTAAGACCATTCTGGCCAGCTCTCTGTAATATTGGGAAGCTTAAGTTGCTGTAGGCAAACTGCTTTTGATACCAGTTTTTTTGTTTGTTTTTTGGTACAGGGGATCAAACTCCAGTCCTTACTCTTTCTAGACAGGGGGGCGTAACCACTCAGCTAAATCCCCAGCTCTTGATACCAGTTTTGATACTTGCCCATGCTTTAATTAATATATGCAGAACTGGTATTTGGAAGCATGAGAGCCCTAATTTTTAGGAGAGGAGAGGTCTCTGTTAGTCCCATCTTGCCCGCCTGCCAGGTGCTGGGAATGAATATGAACATTTCATTCCAGTTGCGGATGCCTTCTAGAGTTCTCTCTGCAGTCCTTGTTGGGTGGTAGAAATGAATTTTTGAAGTGGATGGGGAAATACAACCTAGGTAGGTTTGTTTGGGTCTTTAGAAACTGTAAGTTGTTGCACTAGCCTGACAGTATCTGGGATTAAACAGAGTTGCTAGGTATTCATTTGATTGTAATAAATTGGAACATGCTGTTACAGGAGCATTTTGCATCCTTTATCTGTACTTACTGTCTGCGTCTCTAAAGGATGTGACATTGATTAGACTGTGGGGTTATATTCCTTCTAGATCAATTCTTTGGTCTCTTCTAATAGAGCTGTCACTTTGGTAACTTTCTGGCATTCAGATAGTGTTACTGTATTCTGTGCAGCAGGTGATAAGGGTAGTTTGTGGTGATCATAGGGGCATTTGCATATTGCACTGATGCCTTAGGATAGTGTTAAGGTCAGATTACATGTAGCTGCTTTTGATCTTAGTGCAAGGTAACTAAATGGAGATGCGACTGATAGAGGTAGGGGTGTGTGTGTGTATGTGTCAGTGTAATAGTGTCTTGCAAGGTTAGGTAGGAAATAGATCCAACCATAAAGCAAGTATGGTCCGCTTGTGAACTTGAGAAGAAAAAGGAGCCAGGCTAGAAGTTCAAAAGTGTCATACTAAAGTACATTGACAATACTCCTGTTCCCCAAAACTAGAAATGTTTCTGCAGGATGGCATAGTTTTGTAATTCTTTTTCTGAACTTGAATACAGTATTGGTTAAGAACTCATTACCCCCAGTTTGCGTCTTTTAACTCTTAAGTTATATTCCATGAGGTTAGGCTCTTGAATGACTACCTTTTGCATAAACGTGAAATAATGTTTTAATTTCTTACCACCATAGTTGAATTTCTTTATTTCCAAGCTTACATATGTGGAGAGGGTACATTATTATGAATTTCTTAGGTGGATTACTTAGTTCTTTTAAAAATATAGGGTTCGAGGTTATTTCCCCCAAAGTGCAGGGAAAACTTAGGGGACATACCACAAAATTTTGTTAGGATTTGCTTCGCGAGGGAGATATTTGGAAACTAAGTAAGTGACTTGTGTTATTTTTTGGTTATTCCTAGGAATAGGACTTTTGGGTACTTTTTGGTGATGTAGAAACTCCAGAACAGGGATTAATTTGGGTAACTTGGAATTCTCTCTTCAAAAGTATATGTATTTTCCTAGTTCCAGCAATTAAGTACCTTCCTTTTTATGATCTTTTCTGCTCTATGGATTACTAATTAACATGTATAAAGCTGAAGTGAAAAACGGATCTCCAAGCTTGGGACCTCAAATTAACCCACACTCTCTCTTTTGCTTTGCCTCCTTGGCAAGGAATATGTTGTGTTGTGCAGATGCTGGTGCCTTTATTTAAATCTTTTTGTGATGAGCACGAAAAGAATCAGAAATACATCATAAGAGGCAAAGAGCTTGCCTCTGGGCTTTACCTTTGAGGAAAGAGTCACACGTGGCTGTGGAGTCAGTTTGGCTGGCACACAGTGAGTGAGTGGCTGCCTCTGGGGGCCGGAATGGATCCACTGGTGTTCAGCCAAGGTTTCATCCTGGTGTGTGAGTGTTTTCCAAGCAGAAAGCCAGAGCTTTGCTTGTTCAGCAACCGGAGCACACTGATGCATGCCATTTTACTCCTGACCATTTGGAAGTTATGAGTAAGTGACTAGGAGGAGAAGGGTTTTCCCAGGAAGGGAGCAGGCTGGCATTTAATTAGGACCACTGTGAGGAAGGCAGGAGGAGAGATTCTCTTTCAAAGAATAGCATCTTTTGTAAGAGGGAGAGTTGAGGATGGTCGATGAAGATGTGCATGGTTATTTTATATTGGGCCAGCATTTTATTTTGGTGTTGATGAAAGATACATGTACAGCCCACTTATTGTGCAATTGCTCCATACCAAAGCTGTTGTATGTGCCTGGTGTACATGATTACATGTGATCCTCCTGTGAGCGCCATAAAGGAGAAGAAACAATTATGATCTCAATTTTAGAAAGAAGAAAAGTGAGGCCCAGAGAGATAGTGACTTGTCTCTGAGGTTCAGCTAGTAAATAAATGAAGTTAGGAAGGCATAGAATACAGTAAGTTTTAAATGTCCACAGACATATTTTAGTGGCTTTGTAGACAACATAGCTGGCTTAGGGTATATTATTTAGCCCTCTCTGAAGGCACAAACAATTGACTGAAGAAATGAGTGAAAGTATGGAATGTAGATTCATTATCAAGGTCTTTTTTTGTACTAAGAGTAACAATAGTAATCAATTATTAATGTTTTTACTATGTACAAGCCCTGTTTATGCTATTGTTTAATGTTTAGCCCCTACTATTATCATTGGCCCATTGTAAAGATGAAGAAACTGAGGATTACAGCAATTAAATATTTTCCCCATAGTCACACAGCGGACATGGGAATTAATCCCATTTCTGTAGAGTCCTTATGGATGGCATTTAAACTTCACCTGCATGTATTTCCTTCGTGTAAGTTTTAATTTTTATCCTTGTGCTTTTTGGGGCATCATCATCCCTGCTGTTGACCATGGGTCATCAGTCTTTGATAAAGAAGCTTATGTCCTCAAGTGCTGTTTTGTGAAATCTCACACATAAGAATTCTGTGGCCAAGGCTTGATGTCAGATCTTGTTCATCCCCTCCCAGGGTTCTAGAATGCAAGTGCATTTTGAAAGATGGTATACTTAATAAGAGGTGCAACTTAAGATAGCAGCTGCTAAACTTGAGGAGTCTGTCAGTTATCCCCAAAGAGTGTGTGCCCTTAAAAATAAAAATCCTTCTCAGGAAGAGTTACAATAAAATTGAGATGGATCCCTTTGCTTACAGTAAATAAATGTGTTTGAGTTTTCTCTGGACATGGACAGCAAAGGTCAGTGAGTGAAGAAGAGATTTACCCGCGGAAGCAAAGGGAGAAGGAAACTTCTTATGTGCCAATCCTCATGCTTTTTCTAAAGCAAGGGAGAAACCTGTTAGTAAGAAATTCTGTGCTAATGGTGTTTGCCCTTTTACATAAGTCTTTGGTGTTTAAAAAACATTTCTGCATCTGTCATCTTATAAAAGTCCATTCTGATAGCATTCTTAGAAGTATCATTTTATATGTGAATAAATAACAGCTAAAATGTTAAATGACTTGTGCAGGGTTACACAGGAACGGATAGACTTGGGGCTGAATGTAAGATCTCTGAAATAAAACGTTTTTTCTTTCCAGTGTCCTTTCCGCTTCCTAGCTGTTAGATATTTTGTCTTGCAGGGCTCATGCAAGAGACATGTATTTATTTTTCTCATCTCTACTTAATTTCTAATGATGTGGAGAAAAAATTGGGGCTAGGGAAGAAAAAGTAAGACAGTTGCTTTTCTCTGTTCTTCTGAGACCTCTCTAATCTCTGCCTTATGTAAGCAGGGACAGTGTTACCAGCAGCCCTCCCTGGGCTGGGCGAGGTGAAAGGGGCTGTGGTTTCCATGTCCACCCTGGCATACACAGTCTGGAACCAATGACCACCCTTTTGCCCACAGACGCTGCTCTCCTTTGGAGTTG